GAGGAGAGGGCCGGGTGCCGAGCAGAGGGCCGGGTGCCGAGCAGAGGGCCGGGTGCAGAGCAGAGGGCCGGGTGCAGAGCTAGCTGACTATTGTATATACAGCTGAGGATGAGGTGCAGAGTAGAGGGCTGGGTGCAGAACTGAGGGCCAGGTGCAGAGTAGAGGGTCCGACACACAGCTGAGGATCAGGTGAAGAGGGCCAGGTGCAGAGCAGAGGGCCGGGCGCAGAGCAGAGGGCCGTGTGCAGAGAAGACTGTTGTACACACAGCTGAGGATCAGGTGCAAATCAGAGGGCCAGGCGCACAGGCGTGGGCCGGGTGCAAACAAGAGGACCGGGCACAGTAAAGGGCTGAGTGCACAGCTGAGGACACAGCGCAAACAGAGGCTTGGGTGAAGAACCCAGAGGGCCTTGTGCAAGGCAGAGAGGCAGGTCTATGCTGAGGAGTTAGCTGAAGGCCACATGCCTAGTGAAGGCCAGATGTACACATCTTGAGGCTCAAATCGAGGTCATCACAGGGCTGTGAACATGAGTGGTCCCACCAATAATACTGTGGACAGTGGTGTGGGGCATGAGACACTGGAGGTACCATAATGAAAAGAAAAGCAGAATTCTCTGGACTGGAGGCCATGGTGACATGAACCAGGGTGACAGCCGCCATATGGGTAGAGGTGGGAAAAAAGGGACAAGAAAAGTTTCTCTCCCTATGTGATATGTTACTTGCATTTTCAAAGGGAAGTGTGAACAAAAGAACTGTCCCTAACACATTGTTAATAAGGCAGGTAATAAAGCAGAATGTATTGTAGCACTGCATATATATACACACACAAACACACAAAGAGGGTGTTTTTTTAAGTAGTGTTTCATACTTTTACTTACTTATGCATACAATAACTGAGGTGCAGGCCAGAAATGCAGGGAGTGAGAGGATTCACCAGAGACAGAGCAGGGAGCAGAACAGGCAGATCTACTGAAATACACTGCTGAGAGGAGCAGCGAGTGGGTCAGGAGAGGTCTGATGTGCCATGTGGGTCAGCTAGAGATCAAACTAAGGCCTTAGCAGTGATAGCCGGAAATGCAACTTCTAGGCCACCCAAAGAAGAAAGTTTATTTATTTTTAAAGATTTATTTATACATACAAAACACAAAACTGGGGTACAGGCCAGAGGTACATAAGGGTAAGAGGATTCACCAGAGACAAAGTGAGGAGCAGAACAGGCAGATCTACTGAAATACACTGCTGAGGGGGGCAGCGGGCCTGTCAGGAGAAGTCTGCCATGCCATGTGGGTCACCCACCTGGCTGGGGATTGAACTCATGCTACAGTGTCTGTGACAGCTTCACACTGCTGTGCTTTAACCTATTGCGCCACCAGGGAGGCCCAAAGGAGAAAGTTTAAAAGGACAAGTACATAATATGGTTATAGACATTGTCTCTAGAGAATTATAGGTTTTTCTTTCTTTCTACAAATTTCCTATAGTGGTTGCCTATTGTTTTTTTATAAGACAAAGGCTATTTAAAGGGGAAAAAGGTATTTTACCCACTTCACTCCTCTAAGCAATGCTACATGAGAAACAGGTTAGAGGTACTGTTATCCAATCTCCAAAATCTCCAAAGAAAAAGATTCTGTAACTCTTCACTATAGGGTTTTCAGTAGCCAGAGTACAAAGTATAAAGCTAGAAGATATAGTAGTGGACTCATATACCTGGTTTTGTGTGGCTTGCTTCATCCAGGTTTTCAGCTGCCAAATTCACAGGTACCACGTCTGTCTTTAGTTCTTCCTTCCCATCAGTGCCCACATCTTTCACGATGATGTTCACATTTAGCTTCTGAGGAGGCCTGGATTTTGCTGCTGGTTTAGCATGCTTCCAGAAACGCTGCTTCAAGGCTTCCAGTTCTAAACCCAAATACCAACCAGTATGTCAGTTTAAGGCTCCAGTTAAGATTCTGAAGCTAAGTTTCTTAGCTCAAACTGGTAAGGGAAAAATATTTACACAGACATAACAAAAACTCATTTGCTACTAATACCTATGCCAAATTCCTATCATCTAATCCAAAGTAATGGACTATTTCAATTGTTCTTTCTTGATATAGTTCAAAATTTGGGAGCAAAAATTTATAACTTCAGTTTCAAAATAGATACATGTCTTTTTTTAAAAAAAATATTTATTTATGCATACAAGAACTGGGGGATAGGCCAGAGGTATGGGGGTGAGAGGATTCACCAGAGACAGAGTGGGGAGCAGAGCAGGCAGACTAACTGAAGTACACTGCTGAGGGGAGCAACAAGCGGGGGAGCAACAAGCGGGGGAGCAACAAGCGGGACAGGAGAGGTCTGCCGCGCAATGCAGGTCCTCTCCCCGGAAAGGGATCGAACTTATGCTGCAGTGGTTATGGAGGGCTTCTTATTTAACCAGGGAGGCCCCCATTTCTTTTTTAAAATGTATCCAATTGATAGAAAAATTACCATGATTTTTAATTATTCAAGTGCTTGATTTTTCATGGGTTTCAGTCTACTTTTAAAAACCCTATTGTGGAAGCAGCTCTCCTGTCGCCTATGACCAGGCAGGCCTCTTTTCCACAAACCTGTCCCGTTCAGGGGCAGCGCTTTCTGCCCACTTGTGTCTATGCAAACTCCTTTATTTTCCTTCCCTTTTTATAATAAACCCGCCCTTTTGAATATTAATACATAAAAAATAAAAATTTCCTATTGTGAACATCATACTCTTTACCAGCAATCTTACTGAATATGGACAAAATCAATTTTAAGAAAGATATTCAAGCTAGTTAGTGATATAACTCAATAGAACTGATAAAGCTGTTTTTCGGTGAAACTGTTACACCAGTATTGTTACAGGGCAGTGAGGGGGCACCCGAAACACCCAACTCTGCTTGTTCTAAATAAGTTCTGCCATCTGCATCAAGACAAAACATGTAAGACCTTTAATGAAAAGAAACTTGAATATAATTAGTGTAGAAAAAAAAAAGACAAAGAATATAGTTCTCAAATGCTTATAAGCATCTGAAGTTATCCATCCCCTCATGGGTAAAATTGTCCAGCTAAACAGGATCGGCCCAAAGCAAGGCCCAAAGCCTGCCACATGTCAAAAGCAATTCCAAGGGAACGCATATTAAAGGGTCAGAAGCAGTCATACAAGCCTGGGAGGAAACAAGCAAAATCAAAACCAAGATAAAAGGTGGCAAAGCCAAAAGACACAAAAACACTGATTCAAAGGCACCTACACCCCCATGTTTATTGCTGCTTTATTACAATTGGAAAGACATGGAAACAGTCCAAATGCCCAAAAATAGATGACTGGATTAAAAAGATGTGGTCCAGCGCCCTTCATGGTGGCGCAGCAGGTTAAAGCACAGCACTAAGAAGCTAAAGCCACTTCCACAAGAGTTTGATCCCCACCTGTCCCAGAGGTGATCCACATGGCATGGCAGACCTCTCCTGACCCACCCTCCTCTCCCCTCAGCAGTGGATCTGCCTGTTCTGTTCCCCACTCTGTCTCTGGTGAATCCTCTCACTCTCCCTGCACGTCTGGCCTGTACCCCAGTTCTGTATGCATAAATAAATAAATCTTAAAAAAAAAAGTGGTACATATACACAATGGAATATTACTCAGCAATCAAAAAAGATAAACTCATGACTTTTAGAGCAACATGGATGGAGCTGGAAAAGATCATGCTTAGTGAAATAAGCCAGAAAGAAAAGGAAAAATACTGGATGGTTTCACTCATAGCAGGAGTATAAAGGACCAGGGGAGAAAATAATAATGAACAACTATATACCAGAGACATTTTATGGGGGTGGAATGGGATCAAAAATGGTGGTGGGGAGGGAAGTGCACTGGACTATGGTGATGGCACATGAGTGATTTGGTGATGGTAAGACCATGGGGATTACAACTGAGATGGAAAAAGACACAAAATGATGTAAAAATAAACTATATTATTTAAAAAAAATCTAATTACAGAAAGAATTGGAAATGGCCTTAATGTACTCATACAAGCAGTGTTTGTTAATCAAGAAAAAGTAAATAGCAAGTTTAATGAGAAAAAAAAAGTGGCATAGTTAACCACCCCACAATTCTCTCACCCACATCTGTTTCAAACAGGCAAGGACCAAGAAGCAAACACTTTTTTCACAATCTTTCTGCCCCTTGTACCCTCTCCAGGTCTCCTTCTGGCTCTGCCTCCTGCTTCCTTCCCCCTTCAGTGTCCTAGCCAGCTTCTCCTTCCTGCTCACAGCTCCACCCTCCACTGAATGAGGCAGGGAACCTGGAATGCCCCCTTTTCCTGGGGGCCACCCTCTTATCAGTACAGTAAGAAAGGAAATCCATGTATAAGTGACCCTTGCACCACACACCCAACTTATATACAAATGGGAATACAGAGTGGAAGCAGTAGCTCTGCAGTGATGGTAATAGAGTCTCCTCCCCTTAATCACTGCTGTTACTCAGAATTCCCTTCTCCTTTCAGCTTCTACTGGCACCATCATTACTCACTGTTTAACATGGCATGCCACAGGGCAATCTGTTATAAGAGAGTTAAAAATTATAAAGAGAAAGGAAAGGAAAAAAAGAGGAAAGTTCTTTGGTTTAAGGGATGCTGGATTTTATTTCATGTGCTTTCCCCTGTATGATAAAATGTCCAGGAAACAAATTGGGTTCTTTTTCTAAAATGCACTTGTTCATTGACAGCATCTAGAAGTGTTTTTTCTTTCCCTAGTCTTAGGGGGAAAAAAAAGATCTGGAAGGAAACCTTTTAATCCCAAGTCCCTACCATTAGCAGATAACTTCAACTTCAAAGGAAAATATATTACAAACAAAAAAAAAAATAGGGAGAGAAGCTGTAAGTCTACATCCTGTTTTATAGTTTAGATATGGCTTAGTAAGCGTCAAAGCAAAGGATGGTGGAAAGAAAATGGAAATAGGCAGCATTTACTCTTTAACTCTTATCCTCAAGAGTAAAAGAAATGAATGGGGAGATTACTCAGGACCTAAAATAGTGATGCCAAACGTGCCTTTGTTTTCCTACAAATGCCAGGCCAGGCCCCTCAAAGTTCATCATCCCCCAATCCATAGAAACACCCACCGTTCTTACCCTTTATTACATGACTCTGGTATCATCTTCCATACCCAAAAACCCCTGCCCAAATCCTCTCCTTAGTCTTTCTCTCGCATCCTGCAAATCCTTTCTAAATGAAAAGTCTCTGCTCTAGCTGCAGCTCTGTTAACATGGCTTTAGAACTGTTTTCCTTGCTGTTGATCTTAATCCAGAAAATAGAGAAATTAGAGGTGAGATTATTCCCTCAAGCATTGCAGGAAGTAGTTGAAACATATTCCTGGCACCACAAAGCTTAGACTTACATGAATTTTCTCATGGAAACCTTATTTTACATGAGGATAAGGATAAACAGCTTCCCTACTGCTTTTGCACTTAAAGCTTTCCAAAGTGTCCGCCACACCAGCCACCATATTCAGCTTCCTTAAATGAGCAGCTCATATGGCCATTTACCTTGCTAAAAACCTCTCAATAGTCCTCTACTAATATGCTAAAGTTTAACTTTCTGGCATAATCTAAAAGCTCCATATGATCTCTGATCCCTCTGTGATACTTCGTTTAAAAAGAAAAAAAAAGGGCCCTCCCTGGTGGCGCAGCAGGTTAAAGCACTGAACTGAGAAGCTAAAGCCACTTCCGCATAAGTTCCATCCCTGCCTGCCCCAGAGGTGACCCACATGGTGTCACAGACCTCTCCTGACCCGCTCGCTGCTCCCCCCTGCAGTGTACTTCATCGATCTGCCTGTTCTGCTCCCTACTCTGTCTTGGGTGAATCCTCTCACCCTCTACACCTCTGGCCTGTACCTCAGTTCTGTATGCACAAATAATCTTTAAAAAAAGAAAAAGAAAAAAAACAACTGGAGTATAGGCCAGAGATTCAGGGGATGACAGGATTCACCAGAAGCAAATTGGAGAACAGAACAGGTGGGTCGACCAAAATACACTACTAAGGGGGGCAGCTGGTGATCTGGGAGAGGTCTGCTGTGCCATGTGGGTCAGGGAATGAACTCAGGGCATAGCAGTGATAGTGCTGAGACTTAACCCTAGGCCACCAAGGAGGCTCTCCCCATGCAATCTTCATTTCAGTCAGCAAGAACCTTTTCTTTCCTAGTCTCTGTATCTTCTGCAGGTTTGTCAATCCAAGAAAGCCCTCAGCTGCCTCTTTGCCTTGGTACCTTGTACTGAACTTCAGAGTTCAGCTACAGTATTAGCTCTTTTCAGAAGCTTCTTTGGCTCCCCATGAGGTACTCAAACTCTAGGTTCCCCATGAGGTCCTAACTCTAGGTTCAAACACACGCTAGTACTTATTCAGCATTATAATGATCTGTCTGCTTGCCTGTCACTACTTCTAGATTTTAATTTCTTAAGAACAGGGACTATATCTTACTTGCTAAATGAAAGTTTATTGTACCAACACATGAATGGCATCCCTAATTTCACAAATATTATGGAAAAGACTGTTTTGAAGTCTCAACTTTCATGTCAAGAATTACTTCTAAAAGAAAACATAATCTGCATTAAAATAAGTGCCTCTTACTATGTGCTAGTTCCCGGTGTAAGTAAAGTATAATGTTGAAAAAAATTACCCAATTAAGTAATTGCATTACTTAACCTCTTTAAGTCTTAGTCTCGTCATTCACAAAACAATTCCTGGGGCTATGAGAATTAAAAAACAACAACAATAACAGCTAATAAAGAACCTAGATGGTCTAATACAGTAAGTACCAGGGAAAAGTTTCTTCCCTTTCCTGTCTCTCAGTTTGAGGCTGTTTAGATAACTTTTAGTCCCATATAACAAAATTTAGTAAAGTCTAGTAAGTATTCCAAATTTCTTATTCAGAAACACTCAGAGAATTTGCAGTCCCATATAAGAAAATCCCAGTTTTGGGTAAGAGCTCCTTGTAATGTTCTTATTAACAGAGCCAAGCTAATCTAGTCTTCTACTCTATCTCCAATTCTCATCACAATACAGTTTCCCAGACTCACCCTGCAGGGCTTTTTGTCCCTTCCAAGAATCTCCTCTGTATTTCCACAAAATCTACCCATTCCATCAACAAAGACTCACCGGGCATATTTCACACATCAGATACTCTGGCCTAGCCAGCACCTACCAACAATAAGCTGCCTTAATGTAAATACATTCTCTAATAAAGAAGTAGCAGCCACTCTAAGTATTTCTTTATGTTACCTACTTGTATTGTTTCAGCTAATCTTCACTAAGCCCTGTAAACAAGTTATAACTTCACTTTTTAAAAAAGATGGCTTGTAGAGGTCAAATACCACACTCACAGTTAAATAGTGTAAGTGGCGCAGTCCAGATTCAAAGCTCGGCCTTGCTACAGAGCCTACACTATCACGCCACACTGCCTGGATGCAGAGGAGGCAACAATCAATTCTACCTACGAGTTAGGAAGTTTACAAAATGTGGTAATACTTGAGTTCTGTTTTAAAGAATAATTCATTTGTTCATTTAATAAATATGGTTGCCTACAATGAGTCATCCACTCTGGAAACACTGGGGATAGAGTAGGGAACAAGAAGATCCCTATTCAGAGAATAAAGGAGAAGAAAGTGAATAAATAACTATATCCACCTACTCTTCAAGTCTTTTCTTTTATCACCTATCAGAAGAAACTTATCCTTCCTCTGAACTCCCAAAGCACTTTATTCTAAATGTTACTTCTAAATGTTACTTTCAGAAAAGACTACTTTTCCCTTTTCTTCACATTATTTTTTCCCCAATTATCAGCAATACATTTTTATTACAGCAGATGTCACTTACCACTTTCTTATCTGCACGCTTCTTATCTTCCCTAAAGTGTGTAAGTAGATTAAGTATACAATAAATGTCAGATTTCTCTAAGTAGGCCCTACAGCATTTTGCATGTACAAAGTAGTTTAATATCTGTTCAGAATGAGAAAAAAAATTCAGTTTTTCAGAAAATTTACTGAACCAAAATGTTTAACTGTGTAAAACTGAAAGCTTTTATTATAAATGTCTTAATAAGATTTGACACAAAATCATATGAAAATTTAGAATTTCAGTTGGAGAGGCAGAAATAAGTTCCTATGTATAATAACAACACAACAGCAACATACCTCTTCTGTATAATCAACAAATTTCCATTTTTAACAAGTAGAGCATTCTGATACCCTATAAATCTAGCTACCTGGGATTCTCTACCTGTATTTGGTTCATCAATTGTGGTTATCTAGCGTTCCCTGTACTCCAGTTGCAAATGAACAAAAATTGCCCGAATAAATCACTCTGGAAAGACTCCCCATAAACTCAAAGGATTACCTCTGTTGGTCTCAGGTTCTTCAAGTACCACAAAAGAATCTTCATCAGCACCCAGTCGTGGTTTAATGAAGACATCTACTCCCAACTGCTTAAGTCTATCCACAGTGAACCTCTTCACTTTCTCAGGCAGCCCAACTGCTGTTGCTTTAGTTTGTTGTCTGGGTTCTTCCACCTTCTCAGCTGCTTCTTCGGTTTTTCTCAGATCATCTTCTCCCTCTAGGGCATGAGGTTGAGGTGCCCCAAGTCTGGCAGCCTGACAGTCCTCACTGTCCTTGTTCCCAAGGAAGCTGGATTCCTGTGGTCCCACTGAGCTGTCCCCGGGTGAAGGTCCAACATCACTTTGCTTTTGTTTCTCCTGAATGTCTTCTAGCTCCTCACCTCCAATTAAGTCCTTACTGCAAGACTCATCCGATCCAGTAGTGAGCTGAGGTTCCTTTGACACCACAGAAAGTGTACTGATTTCCATTTCACATCCAGTGCCTACTGTCTGCTCAGAACCTTTGCTATGGGGGTCATTATTCACCTCCATTGGATTTGCAGTGTCTATTTCTTTGTGATGGCTTGACTGATATTTAGATGACCTAGAACAGGAAAAAATGAGCTGGAGTTGAAAATTATCCTAAATGTAAAACATTCTCATCCCTTAGCACACAGTGAATCAGTCAAATCAGTTTTAAGGGAGTAAGGAATCCTAACATTTTACACCTGATGTTTGCTACAAAACTATTTACAGAAATCATAATCACAGGGGAAAAGGCTCTTACTTTAATAGTGCCATGGCATTTCCCTGGCAAGTTGGCCGGGGTTTTCGTTTGAAGAAATCATGAATGGTTTTATTCTCAGGCATATGATATGGAAGATTAAGTGCAGACTCTACAAAATAGAACAAAGCAAGTAAATGCATAAACAATATATACTGAAATGTCATTTCATATTCAATTAATGAAAAAGTAAAACCAAAGCCATCATCACCAGAGATGGGAAACAAAAGAACTCCCCTAAAACTAGTGGTTTTCAAACTTAGCTGTGATATCAAACTGATTCAGAAGTTTTTTAGAAATACTGATTCCTGTACCCCATTTAAGTTAACTTAATCAGAATTTTTGTAAGAGATTCAGAATTTCTATAAGGCCTAAGAATTTATATATTTTAAAAGTTCCTGGGCCTCCCTAGTGGCACAATGGGTTAAAGCACAGCATTATGAAGCTATCTGCAGCCACTGCAGCACAAGTTCGATGAAGCTATCTGTAGCCCCTATAGCACAAGTTCGATACCTAGCCATGGAAGTGATCCATATGGTGCAACAGACCTCTCCAGTCTCACCTGCTGCTCCCCTCAGCAGTGTATTTTGGTAGATTTGCCTGTTCTATTCCCCATTCTTTCTCTGGTGAATCCTCTCACCTGCTTCCCCTACACCTCTGGCTTATAGCCCAGCACTGTACACATAAATAAATCTTAAAAATCTCCCTTATTGGCCCTCCCTGGTGGCGCAGCGGGTTAAAGCCCAACACAGAATCTAAAGCCGCTTCCGCATGAGTTCGATTCCCGCCTGCCCCGGAGGTGACCACATGGTGTGGCAGACCTCTCCTGTCCCGCCCGCTGCTCCCCTCAGCAGTGTACTTCCTTGATCTGCCTGTTCTGCTCCCCGCTCTGTCTCTGGTGAAGCCTCTCACCGCCCCTGAGCCTCTGGCCTGTACCCCAGTTCTATATGAATAAATAAATAAATCTTTAAAAAAATTAAAAAAAAAAAAATCTCCCTTATTGGGGCCTCCCTGGTGGCACAATGGATTAAATATCAGTTATATGAAGCTATTGGCAGCCACTGCCCAATCCCCAGCCAGGGAGCTAACCCACATGAAGCAGCAGACCTCTCCTGTCTCATCCCCTTCACCCCTCAGCAGTGTATTGCAGTTAATCCACCTTTTCTGTTCCCCACTGTCTCTGGTGAATCTTCTCACCCTCCTGCCACCCACACCTCTGGCCGATACCTCAGTTCTTAATGCATAAATAAATAAATAAATCTTTAAATACTGAACTTGAAATTATCCAATTCATATTATTAGGAGTGTTAAAAAAAATTCCCCAACATACATGTTGAACTTACAAATATTATGATTTATTACACAAATAAATCTTTTTAAAAAACACAAATATTGTAATCTATTGCATTCATCTGAATTACCTCGAATAAGGCGCTGAGTCTCACTATGCAGTTTTTTCAAAGCTTCCTTACTTAATTTAGCTGCCTTTCTTTCCTTAGAGAAAACAAAACAAAAAACAAAAAAATCAGACTACATTAAAGCTATTACACAGGAAGACAGATATAATTTCTCAAGTGTTGCTCTCTGCAAGGAAAGGTGGAAGGGGAATAGTATATCAAGCTCAAAACAATATAAACTCAAGAAGCTCATATATTTACAAGTCTCATAGAATTATTTCAATTCATATTTGCATCCATGCTATGTACAAAGCACTATTTTGGGTACCAGGAAAACGTGATAGATATGATAAAGTATTTATCTCTGAGAAAGCCACAAATTCTTGAGGAAAGAGATCAATCCGACAACTGTGTAGCGCCCCACCTCACCTTCCTCATGGTGCCTTTTGAGAGTTCATTTTCTTCTTCACAGGAATGGATCCCATTTTCCAAAGACAGTTCCTTTTTCAAAAAGAGAAGATCAGCAACTTGACTAATGTGCACAAATATTAAACTAAAGCAAGAAGATGTTGCTTACTCAAATATTACTTTGATACTTCAATGTCATGTTGCATTAATAGTAAGTCAATTATTATCAATAGAAAATTTAAAAACACTATCCTACAATGCATGGAAAACAAGATGGCTGTCTCCAAGTGTAGTTGGGTCCCTCATTTTTCCTACCTTGATGTTATTTCTTGCCCTGAGGAAGAACAATACCTTCCAAGGGGCTGAAGGTCATCTTCCTAAGACAACAATGCCTTGACTGGTTCTTCTCTGTGGTACACTTCCAGAAATACTACAGTGTGTTCATTTATTAGGGGCCACAAGATTATAAAATTTACATTTCTGCCTCATTCTTTACCTGCTTCTTACACAAAATAAAGTATCTTAACTTTTTTTTAACATTCGTGTAAGGGCATTCAAAATACTAGTTTCCAAGACAAGGCTGCATGTCTATCATTTGCACTACAAGATTCCAAAATTATTAGCTGAAAAACTTAAATCAATTGACACATTTTTCTTTAGATAAGAAAAATTAACATCCCAATGGTAAATCAAAAAATAAAGCAAAGATTAGCTACAGTTGTTTAGCTCTTACAGCAACCACCTTAACTTGCCTTGCGCTTTTTCATTTTATTTTTCACAGCTGTCCTTATTGACTCTAATGATTCTTCATCTTCCACTGGAGAGTTATTTTCCTCTTCTAACCCAGTTTCAAAAAGGTCATTATCCACAAGACAGCCACTGTCATTAAATGGTTGTTTCACATTGTCTTCCTATATAATACATAAGAAAAAGCAAAATCCAATCGTTTAAAAAGTAAACATTTCGTGGCCCTCCCTGGTGGCGCAGCGGGTTAGAGCGCAGCACTGAGAATCTGAAGCCACTTCCGCATGAGTTCGATTCCCGCCTGCCGCCTGCCCTGGAGGAGACCACATGGCGAGCCAGACCTCTCCTGACCCGCCCGCTGCTCCCCTCAGCAGTGTACTTCGTCGATCTGCCTGTTCTGCTCCCCACTCTGTCTCTGGTGAAGCCTCTCACCACCCCTGAGCCTCTGGCCTGTACCCCAGTTCTGTATGAATAAATAAATAAATCTTTAAAAAAAAAAAAAGTAAACATTTCGCATCATCATATGGAACTTAGATCCTGTTGCATTAATAGACAAGTATATGGTATTCTAGAATATTCTCATTGGTTCCTAACACATAGACAATCTTTTGAAATCCAGACTATGGTTACTTAATGGTAAATATTTTTTTGAAATGTCCAATTAAATATTTATCAAGCAACTGGTTTATAAGACTTAAAGATAGTCTTCCTAGCTAGCAAAAAAAAGATATGACTTTTAACTGATAAATGCATGAGAAATCCACCTCAAGAAGTGAATTTTCCTCCTCTCAGAAGCAGCAAAGAACTATTCAATGTGCTCACAATCAAAATCCCATTTACTTGGAAGCATATCCAAAATGGAGAATGAAAACAACTTTGAAATCACACACACCATTATTTGCCATGCAAAACTATCAATTCAAAGCAATACTGAGTGCAGAAACAATCTTAAGAACTAAAAGCAACTTTCCAAAATGTTAATCTAGCTTAGAAGTTGCAAATTGTTTTTAAAATGTACCTCATTTTTCATTTCCTTCTTTTTCAGTCGCCTAATTTTTGCCATCTTTCTCTCCTCTTTCTCAATTCTTCTCTTTGATTTTACTTTAGCTTTTTCTGCAGTTCCTCCTTTATCACGTATGGGGTTTTTTGAGGTCTTTCTGTCAACTGTAAAGTGCACTGTATTTTCAGATGGGAGACCTAGTTCTAAGCAAGGTGTCACCTGGCTTTCAAGACTTTTTGTATGTAATGATTCTTCAAGGTCACTCTCATCACTGTCCACCAGAGTTTTGTAAATCCTTCTGACTTTTCCTTTTTTGACAGCATATAAATTCTCTTTATTTTCCTCCTCGACACTGTCATAGGTAGTTTTCTGTGGAGACGCATTTGTGTCCTCTTTTTCAGAATCACTGTCTTGTAGCACCTTCCTGCTTTTCAATTTCTTACTCACAAATATGTCTTCATCTGAATCTGGGGGAAACAAGTTTTTGTTTTTAAAAGAGGTTTGGTGTCATATGGCCTTCCTCCTAGCCTCACTACTCCTGAAAAATATACTCAGTTATCCAAGGGATTTATCACCTTGTGAAATTATGTAACACTATTAAGAACTGATTGTAGCAAAGCAAGTCTAAAAATACATTTTGAAAAACATTTTTCCCTGGAAAAATGTCTCTTACTGAGAACTGTAATTACATGTATTTACAATGTGTAAAGTTGTTCTAATCCTTCTGGCAGGTGCTAAAAACCCTTTTATTATAGAATGAATGCATTCAATCAGGCAATGTGGTAGCTTCTAGACATTTTTATACACTCAATAACATAATGGAAATGACTTTCAAAAGGGTACAAACCCTAAGATTGGGCATTTAATCCAATTCAGTTGTAGCTCACGTTCCCACATTCCATTCCTAAAAATAAATGTACTGGATATTACAAACCTCTTTCACTCAAGGGCCCAGTTGTTTCACAGCTGCCCTGCCCACTGTCTGAAGGACTATCTGCTTCTTCTGAAATAAGTTTTGGATAATTGATTTCTAGGTGAGCCTAGAAAATGAGAACATATTTTAAATTAATCAGCAGGTGACAAAAAGTTCTATATACATAATGATACATAAATTGATCATCAGACTGAAATAAGGAAAAAGACTAACACAATTGCCCAATGAAGGATTGACATTACAGATCACTGGAAAAACAAAACCCAAAATTCATTGTCCAACTTCAAAGGATACAATAGCACCAGCGCCTTTATTTGAGTAATGATAAAGAAAGAAAAGAAGCAAGACTTATTGTGCTTCTTCTGTGAGAACTACTTCTCAGTGTATCCAAATGGCCTGTTAAATAATCCCAATGTGGGAAACTCTAGAGGCCAAATTATGATTTCTTTAACAATTGCAAGGAAAACAAAGAGGGAGGGGGAACCTATACCTACCAACAACTGAAACATGTAGACTTTGTTTGGTCCTGATTTAAACTGAAAATATAGGTATAAGTCAAAGAAATCTAAACAGTGACTGCTAGTTACTTCATAGTAAGCATTAATTCTAAATTTTTTTAGGTGTGGCAATAATATAATTATCTTTAGAAAGCCCTTGTCTTTTAGAGATGCTTAATGAAGTGCTTGCAGATGAAATAATGCCTGGAATTTGCTTGCAAATAAGCCAAGGAGGGATGGTGTGGGTGAGGATATAAATGAAATGAGATTGGTGTGATATAATTGTTGAAGTTAAGTTCATTATATCAGTCTTTCCACAATTGAATATGCTTGAAATTTTCAAAATAAAAACACTTTAAAAGTCATAGGTAAAACTACTTGAGGAGGGTGTTAGCTGACCTGACCAGTTAGTGACCAAGCTGACCCTAGACACCTGGTCTCCTACCTCCTTGGTGTTCGTAGGTCGTTTAAACAAATTATTAATAAGAGGTAACTATTAACATCTATAATAATAATACAGCACAAGGTCTCACCTGAATGGTTTCTCCAACAATTATTCAATTGATTTAAATTTTTGGGACAATTATTAAAATAATAACCAAAGATAACATGCGCTGAGTAACCAATGAAGATCACCACGTGCAGATGAGTCTCCTAACAATCCAAAGCAGTAAGACCTTAGTCATGTTTTGTGGATGAGGAAATTGAACACAGGGAGCCACACAGCTGGATACTCTGATGCTCTTAATCCCCATTTTAGACAATTTGCAGTAGAGTACCAGCAATGTTCAAAATGCAGGGCCAGGTGTAAGGTCTCAATAATCAGTAATCAAAATAAGAACTTATTGTACTATTTTTTTTTTAAATCAATAAAATAGGGGCCCTCCCTGGTGGGACAACAGCACTATGAAGCCATCCATGGCCACTGCAGCACAAGTTTGATTCCCGGCCAGGGAGCTGACCCACACCACTCAGCAGACCTCTCCTGACCCGCCTGCTGCTCCCCTCAGCAGTGTGTTTCAGTCAGTCTGTTCTTCTCCCAACTCTGTCTCTGGTGAATCCTCTCATCGCTTTCACACCTCTCGCCTGTACCCCGGTTCTTTATGCATAAATATATTTCCTTAATCAATAAAATGGGCACATTATGGCTACTGGGAGTCAACTGTGTGCTATTACTGGAATCATAACCAGGGTTAGTGTAAAGTGAGGCTGAGTCATGCAAGGCAGGGTCAGATCTTGCCTGTTTAGAAGTTTGGTATTTTATTCGCTATCACTTTCTTGATCGCTGATTTTCGCGCACCCCTTGAAATTATACTCTCAAGGTGACTATCTCACCCTAGTCCCAGTCGCAGAAAAGCATTCAGCTGTTTCATGCCAATTTCCCAGGAGCGAGAGGAGGGTCTGAGACTGTCACTTCCGCTCCCCGGGCCTCGCAAGAATACCCAAAGGCCTCTTCTAGACTCAATTTTGAGCTCTTAGGATCCCCGCTATCTGGAGAACCGGCCCCGCAAGCTAGTGGCCGCATTCGATCTGGGCCTTCTTAACATTTCGGGGTTCTGTAAAAAGAGCTCCCGCGCCAGGAAACGCGCCAAATGCGAGGGCGGGCGAGGCTGCGGAGTGGGGCCCGGGCGGCCGGCGGGGGAGGTGACGAAGACGCTGGATGCCCGCGCCCGGTCAGGACTGAGGGGTCGCCAGCCTTGGGATCACCGGGGCAGCCCCTTGACCCCCACCTCTGACATGGAGGCCGAGCCGCGCGGGGCACACCGGGAGCTGTAGTCCTCCAGGCCCACCGCCGCTCGGCGCGGCAGACCCCAGCCCCTACCCATCCCTTGGTGCCGGGCCCCGCAGCCCAGGCTGGCGGCACTTGCATCAACTCACCTCAGAAGCTACCTCGCCCGTCATGGCTGCGGCCTTCTCAGAGCTCTACTCAGAAGCAAGCTGGGCTCGGGTTCCTCCAGTCCAGGCGTAGCTGCTCCCGCCGTCTACCCCGGCAGTGCGTTCGAGCTTTCGCGCCCAGCCAGCGGGTAGGCCCCACCCCCGATGATGTGCACCAATCCGGAGAAGGGCTCCTACGTGAGGCCACGCCCCCCACGCCTGTCTTCCAATCACGAAGTGCCTCCGCCCAGCCCTCTAAATGTAATCTGGGTGGGGTTGGCGGGTTGCGGCTCCCCTTGTCAACTGAGCCTGGGGGAACTTGGAGGCGTCCTGGCTGTGGGATGATAGGGCCTTCGGGCCTTGGAAGACGGTACCTGACCATTTCTTTGATTTTTGACCTTCGCTATCGCTTGACAAAACGCCGATCAAGCGCAGTTTAAATGAGGAAGGCCTCCTGGCGGGAAGTGAGCCGGGAAGTCCGGTATTTGAATTTGCAGCCCTCTTCCCACCCCCACCCCTCACCCCAGGATTTTCTCCATTCCCAGAGCAGTTAGACACCACCTGTTCCTTCTTGTACGTGACACACCACCGAACAGAGAAAAGATTTGTAAACTGTCTTAAGAGTATTTTTGGGTAACCTTTATAATCTTCTTTAGATTAGTTCAAGATGACAGAAAATGCCCACCCGTCCAACTCACAGAGGACCTTTTACCTTTGGCAAGGCAAAAGAAAGAAAGCTCTAGAGTCAGACTAATCCCAGACCATTACGATCCAGCTTTGTCACTGCACCCGGTTCTGTTTTCCCCTTCTGGGTCCAGTCTTTTCTTATCCTCCTCAGTCCAGGCAAGGTTGACTTCTCCCAACTACATCACCCAAGTTCCTTTGCCCTCTGATTTCTCTTTAGGTCAAAGTACTGAAAGGCACTTTACAAGGTGACTTTAAGAAGGAGATCAGGAAAGAAAGGTCACAATATTTACTACCCCCTCTTACTCCCTGCAATCCTAGCCACTGGTAGGTGCGCTACTCCCTCGCCCCTCACCCCCCATTTTCCTAGTACTTTTCTGGTTTTAGCATTAGAAGTCCCATACCCTGGGAATCTCCAGGGTGATTAATCACCCTATCTCCTGGCCTTCTCTTCCAAGTTCCCAGCGTTGGCAAGTTTCAGACAAAAGTTCTCTCTCATTTTCACTTCCTCATCTCTTTACCACTTCTCAACCCACTTCTGTCCCCAGCAACAGGACCGCATCATCCATCATCTTAGACATTATTCATTCACTTTACTATTAATTTTCACATCGATGCTTCCCAAATGTGCATCTTATAGCACTCTTCCTTGACGGGCTAATATTTATGGGGGCTTACCTTGTGACAGAAACAGTTGCAAGAATTTTGCCAACATTGTCGTATTTAATCTTCAGAGTAATTGTGTAAGGTAAGTCATATTACTATCTCCATTTTAGTCAACAAGGAAATTAGGTCTTACAAGGCTAGTTACTGGTAAAGCCAATATTCCCACCTTGCTCAGTCTAACTCAAACCTCAGAAAGATCCTGCTGAGTCCCCTCTACAATCTCCCTCCTTCCCCTGTTCTTGTTTTCCAGAAAACATTTATCGCTGCCTGAAATGTCTACTTGGGTATTGTTACTCCAAAAGGATAAGCATTGTATTTTCTTTAACAACATATTCTCACTATCTGGAATAGTCATTCTCTAACCTAAGCAAGCATCAGAATGATCTGAAGGGCTGGTGAAAGCACAGATTGTTGAATCCCACTTCCAGAGTTTCTGACTCATTCTGTCAGATGTGAAGACCAAGAATTTGCAATTCTAAACAAGTTCCCAGGTGATGCTAATGCTGCTGGTATTGAGACCACACCTTGAGAACTAAGAATTTAGAACATTCCTGACTCATGGTAGGGAAATCAATCAATATTTGTTAAATGAATTAATTCAGCAACTTGACAACTATTTTATTCTTCTTAAACGACCTTGGAAGTGAATAAGAGATATTAGCATTTTCAGAACTGATCAGCTTGTTCCTCTCTTTGAAGAGCACCTCTTTAGTTACCACAGATGCTAAAATGGCACTGCTTAGAACAATGGGCAGAAGGAGAGAGAGCTAGGAAGGGAAACCACTCATTCTACCTATTTATTCACTTGGGTCAAGGAAGGTAAAGGGAGTCTGTATTTGGAATTAGTGACCTATAGTCTCAACTTTGGTGAGTGATGCCAATAACCCATCACTCACCAGCTCAGAATTACCCTTGGTCCTTCTGTTCCTTACCCTTCAGGGTTAAACAACATCCAACCCTTTTTATGAAGTTGATGGGAAGCACTAAGGGAAAGACCTAGAGTTCATTTTACAGAAGGATGAACTGGAACCTGTCCTGTAGGTGGCTCTTTGAATTTAGCAATGTCGTTTTGCTTCTCAAAGGCTTGTTTTTCTTGTTTGTAACCAGAAAGCTTCAGATCAAATCGTGATTCTCAAATAGCTTTAATTGGCAGAGCACCTGGAGGAATGTTACGTTGCGGGACTAGCTAGGCTGACACAGTAAACCTGGTTGTTTAGTTAGAAGACATTTTCACTAGTAGGACCTATTACTATATCGCAGAAAATCAATATAAAATCAAGTGTGAGGCTACATACATCTTCATGAAAAAAATAAGCCACGCAATTTAACATGCTCTATTTATTCGAAAGTTCTATTTATATTTTCTTGCTGGCTGGAGAAAAATGACTAAATAATATATTTCACTTAAGTTTTTCTGCAATTTGAGAAAGCCTACCACGTTAAATTTTTAGTACCATTCCTCTGGAGTGAGAACTGCTTGCTTTTCCAGACTCTTGTCCCTAGACCATCATTTCTGGGGAAGCACCGCCACCATGTGGCAAGGTTGGGCCATGTCACTCCATCTACTGCCTGAAGCCACTAATTTTTTTTTTTTAATTATTTAGCGTTGTTTAAAATTTCCTTTAGTGTGGTGAAATAATTGCATCTCTCAGAGTCTGCTTCCAAAAATAGCTTCATACTTTAAATTAATAAGGTTAGAAAGCTTCTTTTGGAGAGTTCCCACTTGAAGGACAAGGCAGTTTTTCTTGCTTAATGTAGTATTATTCCCTGACATTTGAAAATGGCATTAAAAAAAAAGAAAATGGTACAGGACCTGATATATAGTGGGCATTTAATAATTATTGAATTGAGGATTAAATACTGTGGCCCACACATCAAAAACGAAAATCACCAGGGGCTTTCCCAAGGCATGGCAGCACATACACCATCAACTAGTTGACTGCAGAAGCTTGTGGACCACAACTTTTGGCAACCTAAAATACTATTATATATTTTTCCACTTATTCAACAAAACTAGCACAAATATTTTTAGCCTATGCTAAACACAGAATATAAAGATAATGAAATAAAATATTGATGTCAAAGAGCTTCTCCCATTGCTGCTTAGAGCCAGGCACACATACAAACAAGCACGTGCAATAGTGGAAGTGTGAGCCAGGAGCTGTGGGGCCCTGGATGAGGGGTAACTAACGTTTCCTGGGGTGAGCTGGAGAAGATGACTCATGAACAGAGTTTCCAAGACAGATTGAAGTTCTCCAGGCTGGCATAGGGAGGAGAAGGCACTCTAGGAGCTTGATACAGCATGTTGAGTTGGGGAACGGAAAGTAGGTGAGTTTGACTGAACACAAGTTGGGAAGGAGTGGATGGGAGGAAGAGGGCAGAAAAGGGAATGGCCAGAACAAAGGCTGAAAGTTAAACAGGAACAAAATATCTGGAATAATAATATGCTTAGTTTTTAGACAGTGTGAGCTGAGTAGCTGCTGGGTGGGGGTGGGGTGTTAAGAAGGAGAGTAACATGGTCAGATATATGTTTGAGGAAGATTATTCTGGCAGAGTATGGAAGATGGGTTGGAAGGAGATTAGACTGGAGGCAGGAAGACCAGTCGTCTTTGGGAGAGATAATAGGACCATGAAGTGAATTGGGCTCCACATGGCCACGGGGTAGTAACAATGGAGAGGAGAAGGTGGACTTGGGGAAAAGACAGAAAACTTTGGGTGAAAGCCTTGAGGAGAGAGGGATGGTGGCCCTCAGGTTTCTGGACTGGTGAGTGGCCTCACATGATGTCATTTACTGAGGTTGAGAATATAAATCACTCATTCCATATTCAAACGCACTTTAGCGCTCACAAGTTCACATGCAGAATATCTGGTGTCCCTTCCCTAATTCACCCCTGCTCGGCCATTGTCCAAATTGGAGCACTGTTTGCTTTTCTGGTGACTGAAGTGTCCCAGGCACAGGCCCCTCTCTTCACTCAGTTTTCAAACTGCTGTCCTTGCAGTTTCCAGAAACTTAAGTCAGCATCTTTCTACATTGCATTTATATTTTTGTCTGCAATTACCTTTTTTTCTGGCTACCTACCCAGGAAAAAATATATAAGAGCAATTTCTCTGCCCTATTTTGTTCAGTTTCTTTCTTCAGAATTTTTGCTTCGGTAATTAAAAATCCTAGAGCCCTCTGTTCCCAACCTCCCCTAAAGCTCTATCCTTAGTGACTTGGTGGCACAGATAGCTTTTATTTAGACGTTAGCATCCTCGACACTTGGTCAATTATACTCACATAGGCCCCAATCAGTGTTAAGGAGGTCGCCCCTTGCGTGTGTATTTTGGGGAAATGAGCTTCTATCACAGGAGGACAAGATTGATAAAGGGCTAAAGCATGAGTCCGGGCTAAAGGGGAAAGCTGCTGTTTTAGAAAGATAAATCCTTTGAATAATCCTGATAAATATTAGAGTGTTCTGGAAAAGAGGTTTCCATGTTTGATGACCCTTGACCCCCATCAGTAAGTTTGTCCCAGATCCTCTAACTGCATTAAAATCCATTTATAGAATCATAGAAGAAAGCTGAGAAGTCAGTTTGTCCTGTCTCCTCACAAAAACAAACCAAATCCTAGGTGTTAGTTTGTCTGTAATTTACTTATATTAAATATCATAATAGAAATAGAAAAGTGTTCACTGTGTTACATATTACTACAATATATATTTTAAAATATCAGACTAGAAAGTTTGATATCTGTATGTGTTAGTTACTGT